GTGTGTGTGTGTGTGTGTGTGTGTGTGTGTGTGTGTGTATGTGTATGTGTATATGTGTATATATGTATATATGTATATATATATATACATATATGTATATATGTATATATATGTATATATGTATATACATATATGTATATATATGTATATATATATATGTATATATATATATGTATATATGTATGTATATATGTATATATATGTGTGTGTGTGTGTGTATGTTTGTGTGTGTATATGATACACATTCTAAAATCTATATTATCTTCTTAAATATATGGTTTTTATAAAAACAATGCACTATTACCCATACTGAACAATGCCCATGAGAGGCCCTATTGGGCCAACATCCAAGGCTTGAGATACATCCTTGAGGAACTGTTTCTGGATCTGAAAACGGCGCCTGCCGATGCTCCAGCTGCCATCCATCAAGAAGGCTAAGTCAACTTTGCAATCTAGGAAAATAAATTAGATACATTAAAATATATATTAGAAGAGTTTGGGACCGTTTGTATTATATGTTCTATGTTAAAAAGATCATAACACCTCATTTATCTCTCAAATGCTTTGCCAATCATTTGTGGTTATAGTCATGATTGCAAGTATTCACAGAAGACAGAAGATGCAGGGCAACCAAGATTGCCTAAAGTAGCACTTATAGTCCCTAATTTCACAGGACATGTTAGAGCAATAAGCTGCCATCCAAGTAACTTTTTCATGGCCTCTCTTCTAATCCTGGTATCCTGGTATCTTTTTTGTGACCAACAGCGAAATTGAAGGGCCATACAAAAACTTCAAGTGAGTACTAGATCTTTTGAGCACATTAGGGGTAGTCACAGACATTGAAGTAATCAATGCTTATTCAGAAACAAATGAGAGTTGGATCCAGAGTCACTTAGAGAACTATTGGTTTGACTTTTTTTTAGAAGGAAAAAAAAAGGAGAAAATGATTTCTTTATCCCTGCTGTACCCTGAAGGTTCTTCTGAATTTTCACACAACATGGGAAGTAAAACAAAGACTGCAGGGGAAAGGAGAAACCAATATTGTTTCTGTTGGATTTTCCTACTCATTGAATAATTAATCTGCATCCAGCCCCTTAGAGCTGTGGGTGTGAGCTTTTAAACTATCTATGCTTTACACCTACTAATAGGCAGAATGCTGTGGTTTTTTTCTTACTTTCTTCTGACTTTCTAAAGATGGAGGTTACTTGTTCATGCCATTCAGCTCACTCATGAACAGAATGAAGTTTAGTCCAAGAATAGCTTAGCTATGTAAAACAGTTTTATTGTGGTGTACATCACCCAAAGCCCTTCTCTGATTGATGTACACAGTTAAGAAGTATGAAATATGGGAAGAGAGAATGTATTGGAAAAGACCCTGATGTTGGAAAAGATTGAAGGCAATAGCAAAAGGGGATAAGAGAGAATGAGATGGTTAAATAGTGTCATTGATGCAAGGAACATGAATTGGCCAAAGTCTGGGAGACAGTGGAGGACAGGTCTACTATGGTCCATGGGGTCGCAACTCAGTGATTGAACAACAAACAAACAAATAAATAAATATCTTAAATACATGTATTTCCACTAATCTTATTATATGGGTAATATAATTCTGGATAAAAAAGTCATTCCTTCTCTCTCTCTCTTTTCAGTAACCAAACTGATTATTATCAGATAGTACCTTCATCATTTATTGTTATCACTGCAAACTAGTGGAAAAAATATCTGCATTTATTAAAAAAATAAAATATCAACATTTGAATAAACCTGAATGGAAAATTAATTTGTCTCCACCAGTGGTTCTGCTAGATTTCTCTTTGACACCATCGCTCCCCCACCCCACCCCCAAGAAGCAGATTTCATTCATGAAATGCCAAGCCAATAAAATGTTCTTCTCTTTGTCCACTAAAAACAAATGATTATGAAAGGACCTAAATACATTTTTGATTCACATACTTGGATTTCCCTGGGAAACTGGCTTCAAAGTCTTTGGGACTATGTCTTCCTTGGAGTTGAAACCTAGAATGATCAATGTTATATATTATTAAATTTGAAGGTCAGGAGAGAGGAGACATTCACATCAAACATCAGTCTGCTAATTGAATGATGAACAAAGAAAGGGTGGAAATACCTTCAGATGCTTGATTCAGCACAGAAAGGGAAAATGTTTTAAACAAGAGTGAACTCCTGTCAGTGTCCAGATAAGATGGAAGAATTCAGTTGTAAAGCATAGGTCCAGTTATGCCTTGGTACAACTTCCTTGGAGAGCTCAGAAAGCTTTACAGTCCAGTGTTTTCAACCTATTTTATACTAAGTCCCACCACTCACTTTCAAAGAACCTGGGTCTCAACAAGATAAGAGGCAAAAAAGTTATTGGTGCAGGTAATCCTTGCCTTACAATCACAATTGGGATCAGACTTTCAGTTGCTAAGCAATGCGGTTGTTAATCACATGATTGGACCCAATTTTACAACTATTTTACCACATTTATTACGGGAGTACCTGCAGTTCTTAAGTGAATCATGCGGTTCTTAAAGGAATCCATCTTCCCCCATTGACTTTACTTGTTGGAAGCCAGCAGGGCAAGTTGCAAATCAGGATCCCATTACCCCAACGATCATAAAATGCAATCACATGACCATGGAGATGATGTGATGATTGTAATGTAACTTTGAGGACAGGTTGTAAGTCACTTTTTCTGAGGGTGTTGTTATTTCGAATGGTTGTTACACAAATAAATCACAAGTCAGGGCTAGCTGCATTACATTTTTCCATATAAGTGAAATGTGAGAAACTTAAGCTAAAATTTCAGCGACGTCAGATGTGTCCTAACTACACTGTTTCTGAACGCACCTGTGGCATGTTTACCACCTAGCTGAGAAACAGCCCGATAGTACATGTACTATGTAGTACATTGCTGGATGTGCAGGCCAAATGAGGAATTCTATATTCTTCACCTACTGAATGAGGCTATCCCTGGAGACGCACTGTTGAGGTAATTCCCCGTTAGGAGAATGAGCGCATACAGGGAGACGTATTTGAGAGAAGTGTTTGAATAATACACACAGAGCACACAGATAGACTGTACAGTAAATGTAGGTTTTTACTTCCAGAAAGGTTTAAGCAAAATCCAAAATAAGCAGTCGAAAAGTCATTCACAGGTAAATCAGTCAGTTTTTCAATCCAGGGATAATCCAAATATCAAAGTCCAGTGTCAAAAACAGTTCAATAACAGACTTACATTAAATCCAGTAATATCAGTCAATTAGAAGAAATGGAGCAACGGCAATACTTTCCAACAGAAGGAAACAGAGATACACTTACACTCTCTTCTGAGACTCAGACTAAAACAACCTAGGTTTCTGGCTCCATCTTATGGCTGTTTGAGAAACCACACCCAATTGCATGCTCTTGCATTCCCTTAAAGATATAGTACTAAAATGTTTATCCTGGTTTATATATTTCTAACCCAAATACCTGTTAGGTGACTTATATTCCTAACACGCACTGGCAGCACAAGTGGACACAGACCCTCCCACACCAATTAAGTGAGTCGGCCTTATGGTATCTCGCAATACCAATCCTTAAATGCTGCACAATTTGTGTGCCTGTTTGCAACCTCTTGGGTCCCCTTTAAAGTGCTGACTTTACCCCTAAAAGCCTGAAGATCCCCAGAGCTTAAAAGACTATCATGGGAGAAGGGGGCAGGGGAAAGACACATTTTGCTACTACAAGTTGGGAAACACAATTCTTTTTTGAAACCCAGACAACACAGAGCATCTTGGGTTTGCGGGTTAATTATGAAGTTCTTATGGAGAGTTGAGGCTTTTAAAAAATATTTTCACCAACTCCGCTTGCATTATCATAGACATGGCTCTCTTTTTAAAAATGTAAATTTATGGAAAGTTTTACAAGCAAGAGCAAAAATCCATTCAAAGTAAAATAGAGTGAGAAGGAGGGGAAAGGAGAAAATAAAAGAGAAAGCTTAAGTGCAAAAAAAAGGAAAGAAAAAAGGTAGAAGAAAATTAGAAAAGAAAGAAAAAACATATAGAGAATTGACTTCTTATCTTTTTTTATAGCAGTAATGACTAAAATTACAGGTCTACTTCTTTCTATCCTGTCTGATTGTCAAAACCATTAGTTCATTTTTTCTGTTTTATTTTTTTTAAAAGTCACAAGTCAGCGCTAAACACAAATATTGCCTTTTCTCTAATCAAAAGGTCAATCTGGTCACCTCAGCAACTTCTATCCTCTTCACCAAATCACAGACAAGGCTTCCAATGTTGCCTTGAAAGCTGGCTATGCAACTTCTGAACAGGAAGGCCACCCAATGTGCATTTCTCAGAGCTGATTGAAAAGGTTGCTGTTTCCAGGGAGGCCTGCAAGGTTCCCAGGCTTGCTTTAAAATGGCATTGTCAAGTCCTGAGAATCTCAGCTCATTGACGTGGGACTTTGCAGCAAGCTAATTAAGCTTTTTCACCACCAGATTGTCACAGCTGTCCAGGCTCATTAAATCTCTGTTCAGGCAACAGTTGTCTCATACCAACTAAAAATAATTCTCTTTGAAATGATAATTGGCACACATCAAACAATCACTGGGCCAACTTTGTATTTGCATTCTGGGCTCTTGGAAATCCTCTGTCGTGGTAGCTCCCTCTATCTAACATGGAATTTTTTTTTGCAATGAATCACTTTCTATCCCTCATGAAGCATCTGTTGGCTTGTACAGTTTATTTCCTAATACTGATAATCTTCTAAAATAATTGGAACATCAATGGATGCCTTGGCCAAAACAAAGAAACGCAAACACAAATTGAGGACTCTTGTGTGCTTGCACACACTGTGTATTTCTAACACCAGGCATTAATTTGTAACATGCAACTATCTGAAAGAAGAAAACCTAGAATAATCTCATTTTACCTTATGCACTGGGTGAATTCAGCCTGTGTGCCAAATGAGCCCTGAAAGTACTTTTTCAGTGGGGATCCATAAATGAAAATTGATCAGCTGATCAAGAGTGTGTAGTACAGTATACATCTAATTCAAAGCACTTCAATTTACTGTTTCACACTATCTGACATATTTGCTTATATGCCTTAATATTTATTTTATTTATTTGATTTATTTGATTTGTCAATTGTTTACAAGATAATAAGTACAAGTGTATACATAGTTGTGAATATATGAAATGGGTACATATAAGAAAAATAAAAGAATAAGAGAAACAATAGGACAGGGACGGTAGGCACGTTGGTGCGCTTATGCACGCCCCCTACAGACCTCTTAGGAAAGGGGTGAGGTCAATAGTAGAGAGTCTAAGGTTAAAGTTTTTGGGGTTTGGGGAAGAGACTACAGAGTCGGGTAGAGTATTCCAGACATTGACCACTCTATTGCTGAAGTCGTATTTCCTGCAATCAAGTTTGGTGCGGTTTACTTTGAGTTTGTATCTGTTGTGTGCTCTTGTGTTGTTATGGTTAAAGCTGAAGTATTCATTGACAGGTAGGACATTGCAATGTATGATTTTATATACCATGCTTAAGTCGGACCGAAGACGGCGTAATTCGAGGTTTTCTAGTTTTAGAATTTCGAGTCTGGTGGCATAAGGTATTCTACAACGGGTAGAAGAGTGGAGAACTCTTCTTGTGAAATACTTCTGGACTTTCTCAATTGTGTTAATATCACATACGTGATAAGGATTCCAGACTGATGAACTGTATTCGAGTATTGGTCTAGCAAATGTTTTGTATGCTCTGGTTAGTAGTGAGATATTACCAGAGAAAAAGCAACGTAGGATTAAGTTAACAACTCTTAATGCCTTTTTGGCTATGTAGTTGCAGTGGGCTCTAGCACTTAGATCATTAGAGGTGAGTATTCCCAGGTCCTTTACAGAGCTTGGGTCATCAACAAGATCTTGACTATTCAGCTTGTATTTTATTTTCTGATTTTTTTTACCAATATGTAAGACAGAGCATTTATTTGTTGAGATTTGAAGTTGCCATATGTTAGACCATTCAGATACATAGTCTAGATCTTTTTGTAGAGTAGTAGTATTGTCTGTGGTATTGAACAGCTTTACATCATCAGCGAAGAGAACGCAATTGCTCTTGATATGATCACAAAGGTCATTTATGTAGATTATGAAGAGAGTTGGTCCTAGAACACTGCCTTGGGGAACACCACTATTGACAGGTACTGGATTTGATAGGGCGTTCCCAATTTTGACCATTTGTTGTCTGTTTGACAGGAATGCTTCTATCCAGTTATTCAGTTGTCCAGAGATACCATAAGATTTTATTTTTAGGAGTAGTTTGTCGTGTACCACTGAATCAAAGGCTTTGCAGAAGTCTATGTAGATTGCGTCTATTGCTTTGCCCTGGTCGAGTTGTGTAGTCCATATGTTTTTGCAGTGTAAGAGTTGCAGATTACAGGATAGTTTTTTTCTGAAACCAAATTGTTTATTGGAGAGTAGGTTGTTTGTCTCTAAATGGAGGATGATGGATTGGTTAATAATTGATTCCATGACTTTACAGGTGACGCAGCATAAGGAGATTGGTCTGTAATTTTCAACTAGGCTAGGGTCTCCCTTTTTGAAGATGGGGATGACTGTGGCTTGTAACCATAGGTTGGGCAAGGAGCTGGTTCTGAAAGATTTTTCAAAGATTATGCTTAGAGGTTTGGCTATGGCAGTGGATAGTTTTCTTAAGAAGTAGGCACATATTCCATCCGGTCCAATAGATAGAGATGGTTTTAGGTTGCGTAGTGCTTTTTCAACGTTGTCTACTGTAAAATCGATATGTATTAGATCATTATTGTTATCTGTGGTACGGCTAGGAAACATTGGGCATGATCCATTACTGTTTACAAACACTGAGCCGAAGAATGTGTTAAAGATGTTGGCTTTAATGGTGTCGTCGCTGCAGTCTTTACCATCAGGTCCTATCAAGGGAGGGATGGACCTTGAGTCTTTTAGTTTGTTGTTTACAAAATTGTAAAAAGCACGGGTGGAATTGGTGCTTAGAAGGTTTTCCTCTTGTTTAATGTGGTAATTGGTGCATTCGGTCTTTATCTGGTGGCATAAATTTTTGTATCGGTTTTTGAAATTAGCAACGTGACCAGATTTGTTTTTCCGCCAGAGTGATCTCTTTTTGGATTGAAGTTTCCTTATTGATATGGGTAATCTGCTTTTTTGTTTTGTTTTTGGAGTTGTTGTTGGAACATATAGTTTGATGACTCTTTTGACTTCAAGTAAAAATATGTTGTAATGGTCTTCAACAGTATTGCATCCAGTGAATAGAGATTGCCAATCGAGGGATGAGAGATCGTTATCTATAAGATCATAGTTGCCTTTTTTGAAGTTACAACTAGGGATGACATCATTGTGGTGATTTTTGTGTGGATGTATGTTGAGGCAAAAGTCAATCATATTGTGGTCACTACTGGAAAAGGGTTCTTTGGTTTGTATTCGGTAAATTAAATTCAAACTATTGCAGAAGATGAGATCGAGGCAGTTGTTCAGTCTAGTGTTGTTGGTTACTAGTTGTTCAAGACCTAGATTTGTAATAGCATTGTAGAAGGTTGTGTGTATGATTTCAGTTGTACAATTATTTAGGGTCCAGTCAATATGAGGTAGATTGAAATCTCCAAGAAAGATAAAAGGGTATGGGCAGGATGTAGCCCATGTTAGTAGTGTATTTAGCTTGTTTACATGTTCGATGTCATAATCAGGTGCTCTGTAACATAGTAAGAATCGAATTGTGATATTTAAGGATAGTTCACAGATGATGGTTTCAGGAAGGGCAAGCTCCTGGGTAACTTGGATATTTTTTAGATGTAAGGATTTTTTATAGAATATAGCAACACCACCTCCTCGACGATTTTCACGATCTGATCGGTAAACATGATAGTTTCTTACTGTGGTAATGGAGTCGGGGAGAGATGCATTGAGCCATGTTTCACAGACAAATATAATGTCGAAGTTAGCCATATTTAAGAGGATGAGAAATTCAGGTATTTTATTCACGAGGCTTCTTGCATTGAGTAGTTTGCATTTAAGTCCGGCAGCAGTTGGGATTGAGGTAGTTGGGGGCGTGCGTGCCTAGTCTTGGGTGATGGTGGGTGGTGGGTAGTTTTGGGTGATGGTGGATGGTGGTAGGTGGTTGAGGTAGGGTGGTGGTTGAGGGTAAAAGTTGGGTATTGGGTTGCGTGTCTTACATTTGATACAGTCAGCATGGTAGTCAATGTACAGGTCCTTCTCTCCATTGTCTAGACGGGTTTTGAGTTCGATGCGGAGTGCACGGGAGCGGGCACGTTGCTGTATGGTTAAGTCAGGGCGGCAACGGAGGTTTTTGTGGTTGGTGTTGGTTTTGGCGAGTGAGTTTATAGTGTAAATGAGTTTACGTTTGCTTGATTCATTTTTGCAAATGATCCTGCACAAGCGTGGGGCCACAGAGCCGTCTCTATTTTTGAGCTCTCGGTCAATGCGGGAAATGTCAAGTATTTCATCACCGGAGATGGTTGATGCTTGGTAATCTCTGATGATGTTTCGGACAGTCGTGATGTCATCATTGACAATGCTGTCTTCTAGTCCAAATAAGATGGCGTTTGGACGTTTCCGTTCACGCTCAACAGCTTCTCTGATGAGGATTGGGATATCAATATTTGTCTGGGTTGCGTTTATTTGTGGATTGGGTTTTGGATTGGATTGTGGTTGTTGGGTGGAGATGTGGTTTGTGGCTATTTGATATTCAGGTTTTTGTGTTGTGTCTTTTTTTTCAAGGTTGGTTATTCTTTCTTTTACGGCGTCCAGGGATGCTAATATGGTGTTGAGGGATGTTTTAATGGTTTCGATGGTTGAGGATGTTTCAATGGTTTCAATGTTTGGGGATGTTTTGATGGTTTCGGCGGTATCATCTCTTTTAGACAGATCTAGTTTGGATATGCATAATTTGCAGAAATATGGAAACTCATTGGATGATTCTAGGTATCGAATCATTTGCTCAGGTAATCCCAAGCAGTCATGGTGGGTGTATTTTTTACACAGAGAACATTTGATGGAGTATTTGTTATCTTTTAGATTTTTGCAGCATTTAAGGCATGTGCAGGAGTCTTGAAGTTCATTGGTGCAGGAGTCTTGTAGTTCATTGGTGGGGATTGTCTTCTCATTGAGTTGTGGTTTGAGGTAGGATTTTCTTTTTGGCATGGTAATATTGGTAAAATAGTACGTTGATTGAATTAATTAAATGAACAATTTAGGGTAATCTATATAGTCAATATTACATCAAACAATATCAAACAATCTATTGTAGTAATCTCTCAAGTCAGATAATATTCCTAAGCAACAATCAGCCTGGTCAATTAATTACTCTAATCACTAGTCAATTATTTACACTAATCATTACTCACACTGTTCATTTAAATCCACTAAATCAAAGATTTTACTATTCAATTAAATTGCATGAATTTTGGTCTTTTAAACTAGTTAGTAATCATACTATTTGTACTAAACATTCTAATCACACTAATCAGTTAAAAAACAATAAATCAATTAAACCATTAATAGAATATTTTATAGAAATTGATTATCTAATCGTTGATATATGTGATGAGGTAGAAAAGTTGTAAGTTTTGAGGTGATGAGGTAGTATTAGGAGTCTTCTTTGTCTGCGGGGCTCGTCCTAGTTAAAATGGCGTACCCCCTCCACTCTTATTTAAGGGCTTTTAGATCGTGAGGAAGGGATTACCGTCCTCGGAGCTCTTCAATTTCTTCAAGGGATGGAGAACGTGGCTACCGAATCGTCCTTTCTCTGGATTCACACGGGGACTTAGAACCAGAAGGAAACCTCTCCGGAGCGACCCACAACAGGAGACCAAATTGGGAGAGAAAGTTGGAGCGCTCTCACCCAGCGATCCTCCCGGCCGGCGCTTCTTGGATTTTCTTCCTTCTCTCTCCAGTCCCCGGGAGCTCACGGCGAGTTGCAGCGGCGGACACAAGAGTCGGAGACGGCAGCTTTAGTGGGGACCGGAGCGAAGCGGCAGCAGCGGCAGCGGCGTCTCCTCCGTCTTTTTTCTTCCCTCGCTGCCCGTCGTCTCCCTCAAGTTTTTCAGCAGATCGCTCGATCTCCTTACCCGACAAAGGAAAGCGGCGGTCACAAGAGTCGAAGACGGTAGCTTAAGCGGGGACCGGAGCGAAGCGGCGGCAGCGGCAGCGGCGTCTCCTCCGTCTTTTTCCTTCTCTCGCATATATTTTTATGATATAAAATATGCATATATTTTTATGCATATTAAAATATGCATATATTTTTATGAACTGAGTGGAACATAAGACTCAAAAGAATCTTATCTCATCATCCTATGTAAGGAACTTCACCATAACAAAAAATAAATGCTTGTATTTCCTGCACACATGATATATGCACACTTGTTGCACATTGTTACTCTTAATTGACTTTGTGGACAGATTTTTACCTGGGTCCAAAAGGCTTGATCCAGACTTCCATGCATCTGTTTCAGTAGCTATTATGGACAAAAGACAAACATAATTATCAAACTCACAATTTAATCTTAAATTAATGGAAAAAATATTATATCTTAAGAAATACATAATTTTGTTGAAATAATGCAAAATAGAAGAATTGTTAGGAATATAAGTCACCTAACAGGTATTTGGGTTAGAAATATATAAACCAGGATAAACATTTTAAAACTGTATCTTTAAGAAAATGCAAAACTGTAATTAGGTGTGGTTTCTCAAACGGCCATAAGATGGAGCCAGAAACCTGGTTTGTCTTAGTCTGAGTCTCAGAAGAGAGTGTGAGTGTATCTCTGTTTCCTTCTGTTGGAAAGTATTGTCGTTGCTCCATTTCTTCTAATTGACTGATATTACTGGATTTAATGTAAGTCTGTTACTGAACTGTTTTTGACATTGGACTTTGATATTTGGATTATCCCTGGATTGAAAAACTGACTGATTTACCTGTGAATCATTTTGGATTGCTTATTTTGGACTTTGCTTAAACCTTTCTGGAAGTAAAAACCTACATTTACTGTACAGTGTATCTGTGTACTGTGTGTGTATTATTCAAACACTACTCTCTATAGGTCTCCCTGTATGCGCTCATTCTCCTAAAGGGGAATTACCTCAACAAGAATGTACCAGTAAAATAAACCCTGCCTTAAGTTTATTTTGAGAGGCCATTTCTGGCTGTCACAAAAATTCTTGGAATTTTTAGAATTTAGAAAATTTAGAAAATTTACTAGGAAGTAATAACAAGGAATTTTTCAAGCAAGTATATTAAGATAGTTTTACTTTTAGGAATATGAGTTCTTTCTAAGAAAATAAAAAATAATAATAAAAGCTTTATCTATTTTAGGATGAAGAATAGTTCTGTTACTTGTGTAGCCACAAGCCTTAAAGTATTTTACTGATCAGTTAATCAATAAACTGTAATATTCTCTTAATTAGAAAATCCATTGAATTAGGACATACCTTGATTTTGAGTTCTTCCTTGCGCAGCTTGAACTTGCCCTAAAATAGGAATTGAGATAGAATATTTTATTTGAAGTTTTGCAAACTTTGTAAAAAGTTTAAAAAAAAAAAAAGGATTGATTTTGCCACTTTGAAAGTTGAGAATGCTTGTGTTAATTCTTTAAACTAAAGCTGTGATGGTGCAGTGATTAGAAAGCAGTATTGCAGGCTTATTCTACCAACTGCCAGGAGGTCAATCCTGACCCGTTCAAGATTGACTCAGCCTTCCATCCTCGGTAAAATGAAGATCCAGATTGTTTGGGGCATTAAGTTTAGTCTGTAAGCCACTTAGGGCTGTAAAGCACTATAGAACAGTATATAAGTCTAACTGCTATTGCTATATTATAGATATAATTCAAATTTCAGTACTTTCTTCTCTACTGAATGAAATCAGTTTAATGAAATCAATTTAAAATAGGTTTTAGTAAAGCCACACCCTGTCCTGGTACGTACTTGATAATGCTGCTGCTGCCACCGCTGAATAAACTGGATGGACATTACTAGAGCCTAAGAACGAACAAGAAAATATCTTACTACTGAGAACAAAAGCACAAGAATGGTAGTGTGTGAAACAAGCTGATGGGGGCAGCAGGGAAAAAGAGTTAAAGCATAAATATCAGCCTAGATGTTTTAATTTTGGATATATTTTTCACTTCTTGGTGACTTCATGAATACAATCATGCAATTTTCTTAGTAACAATACTGAAGGGATATTTGATCCCTAAATAAATGGGAAATAAATGGTGAAGTGAAATAATGCGTACGCATGTGCAAGGTGTGTGTGTGTACACAAAGTGCACCCTCCAAGCCACGCCCACCAAACCAGTGATAATTTTTTTTGAAACACATCACTGGTGCTGTTGTAATTTCAATGGCCACTAAATGAACTTTTGTAAGCTGAGGACTACTGTAGTTGTGCCAGAAGAAAGGCCACACACTGTACTTCTCATTAATATCATTTCACTAGAATAAATGGAATAAAAAAAACAAATTAAAACAGAATTTAAAAAGAAAAAAGATATTCACATCCCTGGCAGAGTTTTTTCAGATAGAACATGCAGAGCCTAGATTATGAAAGGATTTTTGGGCAGAGTGCAGAAAAGTACTGGATTTGAATGAAGGAACTGAGATTGAACCTAAAGAAGATGAAGATTATTAGCCATCCTAATCAAGAACTGGAAGTACAGTTGTATCTAAAAAGTTTAAGCCTTCTGATCAAGAGTGTCCCAAAGTTTAGAAAATGAGTAAATGATGCGGCTAAAAAGAAGTGGTTATATCAACCATGCAGTATAAAAGAAGCACAAAAGTTTGGGAATGGCCTCTGTTTGGAGGTCTGAAACATGAAGTGCATGCATGGAGAGCTATGGGTATTTCTGAATGAAAAGAATTGTGTAAGGTTGAAACATTTTTTAAATCCACAGTGAGGCAACATTTAGAAGACTCAGACATTTCTCTACTTCATTGAACTATAAGAAGTAGGAGGAGATAGAGCACCCTCAGACTTGCAACAATCTTCTGAACAATCTTTTGTGGAGATGAGATGAGAAGAGAATGGTGGTGAGGAGGCAGATCTAGAAATATGTTCCATTGCCCTATTGAATTGGGTTATTAAACAGCTTAGATTGTGAGGCTCTTCTCATTCCACTCACCCAGATCCCTGACCTTGTGCACTGCAATGAGAGGCTTTGCCACTGTAACAGTTGTCACTTTGGTGAAGGTCATCGGTGCAATGGTGGTCGAAGTGGTGGTTGTCTTTGGAGTTGTGCTGACAAATTCGGTTGTGGTCGTAAAGGGTTTGAATGTGCGAGTGGCACCCTGTGTAGCTGGCAATGGAGCAGCAGATGTCTGAGATCCTTTCCGTAATGAATTTCCTATATTGCGGTTGAAATATAGCATCTCACTTTAGAAAAAAAGCAATTTCTTTAATAGCTTTGCCCTCCATGTGTGCCAGCTAACATAATTAGGTTGGATTTCAGCTGTAGGTTGGAGGATGGCAGTAGATAAAGGTACAATGTGATCTACATGAAAACAGTTAGAACTAAGAGAAGTCCCTCATAAGCACAAACTCATGAGAAAGATGTTGTGCTCAGCAGTCCAGCAGTGAACCAGCACTTTCATTTGCAATGGTTTGTGCTTTCAAAGTATTTTGTATCAAGATTGCTCTTCTTAGGAAAAACAATAAAATAAACAAATGTTCTGACTACGTGTGTATAGGTATACATGTAGTCAAACTGGGGCCTGAATATAAATATGTAAAATAATTTAGAAAAAAAATAATGTAATGATGGGTAATTTTGAGGGTAAAGATTCATTCTCTGAGCTTGTGGGTTGGTTTCCAAACATTTCATTACCAGGCTATCAGCAGAGTTTAGGGGATGTCAGTGTTCTGCTTAGGTGTGGGTATGTCAATTGAGGGTCTTGTGACAGGTCTTGTGATGAGTCAGCTGTCTCATGAAAAAAGGGAGCCCAGAAAAGTTGTTCAACAGTGTCAAAAATAGCTCAAACCCTTGCATTGCAGATATAAATTAGAACAGTATAATCATGATGAAGATTGCTAGTGCCTGAAGATCATGCATTAAATTTTACTTCAAAACATGGTGAAAAGCTCACCCCAAAAGCAGGAAGCATTGGAAAGGATCCAGACAATAATTTTACAGTATTAATTCCAAAGCTAGAAAGATATAACAAATCCCTGGTCTCTAGCCTTCCAATGAGCAAAGACCAAGAACTACAAAATGACATGTATAAAATGTTGATCACAAACAGTTGGAACATACAGATATGCTAGCAGAAGTTTCCAAATACAAAATGGATTGCTTTATATTTGAGAAGGAAAAAATAAACCAAAAAGGTTAAGATAGGGCAGGGGTGATCAAACTTGTGGCGTCACATTGCCATCACAATTTTTCCCCTTCACTAAAATGTAGGATGGTGGTGGGCATGGCCAGCGCATGATGCATCCAGCCCGTGGGCTGAAAGTTTGACGCCCCTGACATAGGATGTCCTTGAAGCCACAAAATTAGTAAAGGCACATTCCTAGAAATGAGATCTTGTATCTTTGCTACATGAGTTGGGTCAAGGCCTTGATGATGAGAGTAAGAGGCTGACCCTACAACTGTAAAGTATGAGGAGGGGCAGAGTAACATAAATCCTTGAATTTTATTTCTCAGGCCATAAACTCTGGTCAGTTAATCATTACCAGGCACAGATTTGTGCAATAATTTAATTTTTTTTAAAAAACCCACCTTTCTTAAACCATGTTAAATGAAGAATACAGAAAGGGGCATTAAAGAAACATGTATAATATTATACTTGTATAAATTAGCATAAATATGGTTACAAACTGATCCTGCTCAAGTTCTTAACCCAAGTAACCACAACATGGAGAAACAATAATACACCCTCTAGCAGAAAATCCATCACTTGCCTTTAGTGACTGTGCTTTCAGAAGACGAATAGGTCAGAATTGATGGGTACTGCACACCTCTTTTGGGCTTGCCTTCTAAAGAAAACAAAACCGAAAGCTCCAGTCAGTGAATATATGATCATACGATCATAAAAGCACTTACAATTTTAAGTCAGCAGGTAAGGAGTTGAGGACTGCATCAGCTGTGCATGGTATATTAAGAACTTGGCACTTGTATTCAATGATGTCACATATGATTATGTCATACACAAATGATATCAATTATGGATTTAGTTTGGTTAACACAAATTACACCACTGACCCCATTTACACAAGGGGGCAGTTATTCCACTTTGGTTTCCTCATGGACACCATGATTCACGAGATCATAACCCTAAGGAATTGAAGCAAACAAGGTCTAGGAGAAGACCCTTTTCTGCTGTAGCCCCATCCCTGTGGAACATTCTATCACTGGCAGTGAGAACTTCCCTCTCTCTTTTGGTCTTCCAGAAGGGTGTCAAAATCCGGCTTTGTCAGCTGGTCTAGGACCTCAAGAGGTCACGGCTGGAGGTGGCTAATGGAGTAAAGAAGACTTTATCCCCTTTCCATCCAACTCTTAGCTCTCTTAGTTCAGTTTTAATATAAATCTTAATAATATTTTAACTCTGTGTTCTTTTAATATTTTAACTATTATTTGTTTGTTTTATAACCTCTAAACTGCCCAGAGTCACCTTGAAGAGGAAATGGGCAGCAGAACATTTAAATAAATAAATAAATAAATAAATTTTTCAACCTTTGCATGGTTGGCTTCATCTACTATCCTAAACAAAAAACTTACAAACTGCATTCTAGAACTGTGTGATATCTGAATCTATCCAAGGCATCTCTAACTACAGAAGAATGGTGCTGTATTTGTAGTTAGAGTATTTGAAAGCTTTTAGGCACTGAATTTGTTGTCCAGTGTCTTTTTTAAAAAAAAATCACGAAATGAAAACTTTCAGTTGGTCCCATATTTGCTATTGAACTATATATTTTTATTTATTTATTTTAAAAGACCTATAAAGCAGTCCATATTGTAACACAAACCTGGGATTCACACAAAACATTAACCTCTCCACCAATCAGAATAAAAACTATAAAAATACATGGTCCCCTTTGGTACTACTCTCCCATATTTCCACAAATTAATAACTTTATATTAACAACTTAAATAACAAGGGGAAACAGTTTTAGGAATGTTAATGTGACTTTTCTTGAGCATTTTTACTTAGTTTTCTGGTTCTCCCTTAACAAATGTAGCTTTATGGAGTTTAGTGACTAAAAGCAAAGACTTTAACATCCTACTTTTTCAGCTATTTTAATTGGTTTCTTTGCATTATGTTTTTTAATTCTCTCTATATCTGGAACCAGAGATATTTCATTTTGATCATATAATCAGAGTTGGAAAGGACCTTGTAGATCATCTAGTCCAACCCCTTGCCCAAGCAGGAGATCCTACACCATTTCTGACAGATGGGAGTCCAATCTCTTCTTGAAAGTCTCAAGTGATGACGCTCCCACAACTTCCGAGGGCAAGCTGTTCCATTGGTTGATTGTTCTCACTGTCGGAAAGTTTCTCCTTATTTCCAGGTTGAATCTCTCCTTGTTCAGTTTCCATCCATTATTCCTTGTCTGGCCTTCAGGTGCTTTAGAAAATAGCTTGACCCCTTCCTCTCTGTGGCATCCCCTCAAATATTGGAAGACTGCTATCATGTCTCCCCTGGTCCTTCTCTTCACTAGATTAGCCATGCCCAGTTCCTGTAACTGTTCTTCATTATGTATAGCTATAGATCTTAACAGTTATTAATTAAATGTGGTCTGTATATACTGTACACACACACACACACACACACACACATACATATATACATATACATATACATATACATATACATATACATACACATACACATACACATACACATACACATACACATACACACATATATATATATGTATGTCCATTTACTTCCAGAAAGGTTTAAGCAAAGTCCATATATATATATGGTCAGGTAAGAGCCTGGGCAGACGGGTGGACCAAACAGCAGCAAACACAAAACCGATTCTGTGTCTACTGCTCTTCAGAGTACCGGTTCTTTAGAACTGAGCAGAACTGGTAGCATCCCACCCCTGGTATACATATGTGTATGTATAAACATATTTAATTGCAGGATCAGAAGACATGGAGAGACCTAACCAGTGGTGGTATTCTACCAGTTTGGCATGGTTCAGCTGAACCAGTAACTCCAAGGATCATGTGTGAGTGAACCAGTTTGCTCCGATGATCAGCTGCTGGGCCAGCCTGCCCTCTCGCCCTGGCTCTATTCTGACCTTTATTTCCTGGTTTTCAAGCTTAGCTGCTTTGTGCTGCACAGTGGATTGCCATGCATCAGCTGTTTTACACACAGGGCTTGCAGCAGAAGGTGAGTTGCAAGCCCTACCGAACCAGTAGGGAAATTTTTTTAAACCCACCATTGGACCTGACCCATAGAACTACCAAGAGTCAGTTACGACTGATTGGATAATGTCATCAGAATATATAATATAGATTTATAGAACTACTAAATATTCATCAGCCACACTGATTTGCTGCTCCATACCTCTTGACTAAATCCTATCTGTACATTTGAATAGAAGCTGTTTTATTGATCCTCTTATTTTCCAAAGTGGTGGTTATGTAATGTTTTTATATTCTTTGAGCCATCTGTTATTATCATGAGAGAGCCAAAAATAAAAGTCAATTTACTGGAGATAGTTTACTGAAGAAGCTGCTAAAAAAAGTAAATGTGCCTACTGCACTAGTTTTTTTTTTTTTTTAATGGAAACTAAAAATAGTCACATGCTTGTTTCAATTTTCTAAACTCATCTGGAAGGCACTCATCATCCCCAAAGTTAGGATTAATATTTGGAAATGTTTTGTCTTGAATACTGAGCTCATACAATCTTAATTTAACTCCCAATTTGTGTGTTTAAGAAGCTCAGCTACAGATTTGATGCAGATGATATGCTGTGCCAATGCTATGATTTCTCATCATAGCTTAGTGTTGAGGTAATTCCCCGTTAGGAGAATGAGCGCATACAGGGAGACGTATTTGAGAGGAGTGTTTGAATAATACACACGCAGTACACAGATACACTGTAAATGTAGGTTTTTACTTCCAGAAAGGTTTAAGCAAAGTCCAAAATAAGCAGTCCAAAAATCATTCACAGGTTAAATCAGTCAGTTTTCATCCAGGGATAATCCAAATATCAAATTCCAGTGTCAGAAACAGTTCAGTATCAGACTTACATTAAATCCAGTAATATCAGTCAATTAGAAGAAATGGAGCAACGGCAATACTTTCCAACAGAAGGAAACAGAGATAGAGTCACACTCTCTTCTGAGATTAAGACTAAACAACCCAGGTTTCTGGCTCCATCTTATGGCTGTTTGAGAAACCACACCCAATTGCATGCTCTTGCATTCCCTTAAAGATATAGTACCAAAATGTTTATCCTGGTTTATATATTTCTAACCCAAATACCTGTTAGGTGACTTATATTCCTAACACTTATTGTAAGCTATCTTATCTTCACCGTGATCTGACATAAAACTCAAACCGAAATCCAGGAGCTAATGTAAGGTTAAATGGGCATAGTCCTCAAAATAACAACAACAACAACAACAACAATAATAATAATAATAATAATAATAATAGCAACAACAATAACAACAACAATAAATATGCCAGGAAGGCTTGCTGACTACCAGAGAGACCAAACTGGCCTACAAGAAAGACCAAATAAATTACAGAATGGAGACATGGGAAGACAAAGCACTACATGGCCAGTACATTAAAAACATAGCAGGGAAAGCAGATAATAACAAGACCTGGCAATGGCTAAGAACAGGAAAGTTAAAGAAAGAGACCAAGGGATTAATTCTGGCTGCGCAAGACCAAGCCTTAAGGACAAATGTATACAAAGCCAGAATTGAGAAGACAGGAACAGACAGTAAGTGCCGCCTATGTAAAGAAGCTGAAGAAACAGTGGACCACCTGGTAAGCTGCTGCAAGAAGATTGCACAAACTGACGACAAGCAGTGGCAAGACAAAGTAGCAACAATGGTGTATTGGAAGATCTGCAAGAAATATCATTTGCCTGTAAGCAAGAACTGGTGGGGACCATAAAATAGAAAAAGCCATAGAAAATGAAAAAGTTAAATTGCTCTGGGACTTCAGAATCCAGATAGATGGGCACCTGCCACATAACACCCCAGACATCACAGCTGTCAATAAGAAAGTCAAAAAGGTCTGGATAGTGAATGTGCCAGTGCCTGGAGACAGCAAAAGAGAAGAGAAAGAACCGGAGAAGATAACAAAATATAAAGACCTACAAATAGAACAACTATGGCAAAGGTGAGCAAGGGTAGTACCAATAGTAATAGGTGCCTTGGGTGCGGTTCCAAAACAACTGGAGCACCACTTAAACACCATAGGCATCAAATTGTGTTTGTTGGTCTGAATGGATTAATTCATTTGCATTTTATTCAGACTATTTCAATAGTGTGAAAAATTGTATCAGTGAATTTACATATGTCTTAGTGCTCATTAATTGAGTTCTACTTCTGTGGGACCAATTTTCCCCCCTTATTAGTTTTTGAATCTAACAGTGTGTCGTATGTCCATAAATGTTCATTTTTGAGGAACATATTGCCAATATGTCTTCTGATTAAAATTCTGCATTCTTTTTAGTCATGTTTAGTAATTCAATAATAGATATTGCAAAGGGAATTAAATTGTTTAAGCTTTTTTATTGGCATTTTTTCTATTACCTTTTTTTTCCTTTAAATTTCTTTCTGTCTTATTGTTTTTGTATTTGGAAATGCAGTGATGTAATTTTGCAGTGGAAATTTTACAGTTGTGTATTAAAACTGGAGATTTTTTTTTCTTTAGCCCTTAAGTATCATCATTCTTTGCTAAATTCACTTAAAATAAATGTTATGTAGTGAAAAGAGCTGCTAATGCCATATAAACCATATGCAATTTATTCATTGTGAAGTTTTGCTTGAAAGATCCAAGACAAAATGCTGAACTTTTGCTATTTATATGAATAAAAGCTAATAGTGAATATAATATGATCACATTTCTTATTGCTTTGATGAGCCATAAAAATAGATCTCTAAATTTGAAAATAACCCTAAAAGAAAATATTGGTACTTGTCAAAATAATATCCTAATATTCCATATATGAGTTAACATGCTTTATGCTTTGTTATATCAACTTCTGGCTTTGAATAATTTTATAATTTCAACAACAGCAAACCTCTTTCAGTTTTCCAGCTAAAAACTATTATATTTATTCTTGAGTGGTTACTGTATAACATTTAATTGCTACCTTTCAAATCAACGTTTCTCAGAGTTTCTTAGGTTTTTAAATAATGAGAAATGACATATAGAAAGGGGAAGGAGAAAGGAAGGAAGAATTTTACCTGAAAGTATGAAGGATTCCCTCCATCGTGGTAATGAAAGTGAGCGGATTCCATTAGAAAAACTACCCTTGTACCCAGACTGACCAGCAACTTTTTGAACTAAGATTTTTCCTCCAGAGTTGTCAATAATTCCACTATAAAAGTAACATATTAATGTCATAAGCACATTGTTAACTTACCAGAGATTTAAGTGGTCATTGAATTACAAGCTCAATACATATACATTCAATCCACTCGGAAGAGTTGTTTCCAGCCCTTTCCTTTATGTGGAATATTATTACATCATCTTCAAAAGCTTCTGTAGGTCTTCATTGAAACCAGGGAGTGACATCATGGTATTCTAGATGCCATGGTATATATGATTTTTCAGACAATCTCCACATGATTCTAATATTAATTGTTTTTTTTAACTGGGTTTGTCCTTCTTTCAAGTGCACTGAATTGTATATTAATTTCTCTGTGCAATCCTGAATCCATCTGACAAAGTATTTGATAATTCTAAACCTAAGAATAATTCTATTGTCAGAATATATCAAAATGAAACTCTGTTCTAAGTATTAGTAGACATTTAGATAAGTTAAGCCTAATGTATAAGAAGATGGTTCTGTGGCTCCCTAAAAGATATCTTCTACCCTGGCATTTCCAAAAAGTTATGCTTGATCATATGATCCCAGAGGGAAGGGCCTATTACCATTTTCCAGTATAAATTTGTGGAAATATCATCGCCTGTTTTTATCTGTGCAATTTTCTCAAATCTACAGTTATTTCCCCCATAAATCCATACCCTTTAAAACATTTTGCAAAAGTTGCCCTTTTGCTCATTAAGTGGAATTAAAGAAGACTTATTTTCCATTCTCTAAATATACACTAAGATACACTGGCCTGATTTCTACTCACAATCGTCGTTTTTTTTTTACAGATTTTACTATAGGCCAGCTTTTCCCCCCCTAATCTTGTTTTTCCTATCTTTTGAGAGTTATACAAAAATTTTGGTGAGGAAAAAAGAAACACACCTTCTTCTGACTCTTACATTTATTGCTAGTATTGAGAATGCTGATTTTTTTTTAAATTTTGGATGCTATTTTGAATTAAAGATCAGCTCTGCTGACCTGTGAATAGCAGCAGCACAAACACTGGAAAAAGAGGCATAGATACCAGTGCCATAAACCCGATATTTAACATCCTGACATCCCAAGGGACACTTAGCAATAAATTCTGGGTTGATGATCTTTGCAGCTTTGATGGCACACTCAATCTGTGGAACAGCTGTGAATATAAAAGTTGAATGTTATGCTTTAGTATAATCTCACACAAAAGCTTTGCAGTAAACAAAGAAATGCTAGGAATTGGCTCTATTATTCATGTGCTTTTATGCCAGTTTAAAATACTCAGATATTCAACACTGAACTCTTAATCCTTAAAAATGAAAAAATAATAAAATTCCCAACAGCCGGGTATCTCCAAGGAGTTTATTCTTTCACACCCCAGTTCCAAATTGCCTAATATTCAGTGGAATAAAGTAATAATCACATCCATATTATTGATTTCATATCAAAACAATAATATTTGAATTATGCATTTAATTCCATATATCATTGCTATAATCTAGCAATTTGGTATATATTCTTCAGATCTGTTCTTTTAGCTTTTCAGATACATTGGGATTTTAGCTCCCAAAATTTCATGCCATTAGCTTAGGAATTCAAAGAGTTGTCATCCAAGCATATCTGGAAGATTCTAGGATCTAGATTATTACAGAAATATGAGCAAAGTCTTCATATAAACGGTTTCATAAAGAGAGACATAATCTGATTTGAATTTGCATTAGATATCACTATGCAGTTTCTTATTCTACAGTTGTTATGTTGAAGAGTGGAAATAAAAGCAACACTATAATTATTAGCTTCTAAGAAAAACAATATTTTATAAGCATATTAGTTTAGCTAAGCATCGTCTTGGCTATTCAGTTAGTCTAAGAAGAACTTGGGTTGGATCTATCAGATCCAATCTATCAGATTATTAAACTCCCTCTCTTGTGGAATGCACATAGTTCTCTTAATCCTCCTGACTCTGATTTCCCACAAAATGAAAATGTTGGGATGGATTTTTTTGTTTTAATCCCCTGAAAAATATTTCACTGTCATTTAAGAAAGAGAATGTCAAGTTTTCAAGTGACAAAAGGTATTGTTCAGGTTTTGTCAAGTTTTCTTTGACAAAAGGTATTATTCAGACATATTCAGGATCCAATCTGGATCAGTCACTGGGTCTAGAGGTTTAGTTTTCCAAATCATGTGTTCTGCCATTGCATTATGACTGCATCACTACATGCAGAAGATGGTAAGTTTTATCTTTATCTTTCCAAATATAATGTTGAGTAGCTGCTTGTAGACTAGTTAGAGACATTTGACATATAGATTAGGGCCGATGTGATTTATAGTCTACTGCTGATATTTATATAGGTAAGAAATGTTTAGGTGATTTTTACCCTTTTGCTCTTTCAGATGTGTTGACAGTTTAGGAGTTGCCAGAAATAACATTCCATTTCCTACATTTGGCATTGCTTCCAGCCTAGCATTGCTTCATAATCAAACCATCAGTTCCATGCATATAATTATCAACTCCACTGCACAAACCACTTTCCTTCAGACGTATTACATCCTTCTTCCTTCTATTAGCAGCCATTTTTCTTTCTTCTTTCATTTTATTTATTAATTCATGTTCTTTGCCATGTACAACATTCACATACAAATTGAAATGCTCTTTATGACATAATTGTTAGTAGATGGGATCTTGAAAATTCACTGCATCAGTAATGGCTTTATTCTATCAAGGATAAGTAAAGCCTTTGTGGTCCCAATAAATATTCCAACAAGCAAAGTCAATGAGGAAGTTGGATATGTTTAAAAACCATGTGATTTACTTAATGACCACAGCATTTGCTTAACAACTGCAATAAAAGTGTTTATAAAATTGGGTTCAGTCACATGATGACTAACTTAACAAATGAATTGCTTAGTGACCAAGATTCTGATCCCAATTGTCATCATAGGTTGAGGATTGGTGCTGTTGCAAATTAAATTTGATTAGATTTCTTCCCCCATCCCTTGCCCAACCTCATCTTGTCCTGTGTCTTTATTTTGCTCACAATTATTACATCTTTCCTGAACCTGAAATATTATTTACTCTGAAGGGAACAACAAGAAGCATTTGGCACTCCAAAACAGTAAATGATGCATTTAGAAACAAACGCAGCACACAGCAGTCTGGACAGGGGTGGGAAACCATTTAAGAGGGAATAGCTTAGCTGAGAATTAAGATTGCTGTTAATGGAAGATATTGGAAGCTACATTATTTGCTACAGAATATGTATTCCAATATCTTTCTCAAAAGACATGGAGGAGAGTCAAAATTGAGATTATACATTTACATTGTTTTGTTTACTTACATTGTTTGGACTTCCTGTTCCTCTTTGTAGTTTCTTTAGTAGCATATATACAAGTCAGCAGCAAAACTAAGACAAAATAGAGATGTAAAGACAATGCACAACAATACTATCTCCCATGAAATAAAAAATTATTGGGATGAATGGTTTTCTGGGATTATTTATAGCTTTCTTTCAATTTTCTAAGTGAAGTAATAAGATTTTCTATTAATGTCGTTGTCTCCATTTTTTAATGTTTGGTTTTCACATTTTCTGGTGTTACTACTTTAATTACAAATTTTCAGAGACTCTAGCTGCCTGCATTGAGGACATTGATTTAATCTTATCTAAAGTTATGGGGTAACAAATAAAGCAGAGATTAGAAAATAGGATGCATTTGGGCACTTACCAAAGGCCACTGCAACATCTGTTATTCTCTTCATGCTGAGAGAAACTGGACCTTGGAATTCTAACAGTTCACTGTAAAACAGAAATACACTATTTTTATAATTTTATTTATTTATTTGCTTCAATTTTGAGGTTACCCAATTGCATAGCAAATCAGAAAGGGCTTACAGATTTAAAAAAATTGAGGAGAAAAAGAAGACAGTTGATTAGAAAACAAATCCCTAAAGCCAAGCAGATAATGCTCATCCTAATTCAGAACCTATAAGAACAAAGAGATCTTAAGCAATTTGCAAAAAGTTAAAAGGGTGGAAAGGAAACACTTCAAATCATTCCACAGACAGGAACCATCACCAAGAAGGCACACTTCCTAAGTCCTGTAAGATGATACTGCTTAATGGATGGTACCCAAAACCACAAATGCTATCCCATATTGAAGCCCAGTCTAAACCTTGACTGAAACACATCTAGATAATCTGCTTCTGCCGGGGGGCCTCAGGAGTTTTGGCCATGTTTTATCCCACCTTTCTTGTACAACCAAAGCCAATGTATATTATTTTCTCAAACATTATACACAATGTTCTGTTCTTCAATTTTCCCCAGCAACTGATTGATGTGAGGAGTTACTCAGTGGCTTTCAGGGCTAAGAATGGCCTCTTTCAGGTCCTCGTTCACTACCTTCATAATTATACCTTTTAAAAAAAGTAGTTTGCCTCTTAATTCCTATAATTTCTGACCCAACTAATGTCATTTAAATAAATTGGACCTGATCTCCACATCATTTTCAGCCAGGCTTGTTCATACGTATTTGTTTATCACAATGCAGTGAGATTTTGGAAACACCATGTCACCTACTGGCCCCAAGAATTTAATAAAATAGATAAGTTTCAAGCAAGTATTTAAATTTACTGTTTGCTAGTCTATGTATTAACAAGCAAGCCTTTGGATCAGAATACTTTTCAATGGAACTGACTGTACTTACCCAGTGCTCTGTAGGATACAGAAGTAAGAAGCGAGAGAAAAACAGGGGAAAAGCATATATTTAATGGCCAAAGCCAGACAATGATGTGGAAACTTTTTTCTGAAGTTTACATTTTCCAAAAAGGAGGTTAAGAGACCAAAAAATAAAGTAAGAAAAAGAAGACAACTGGGGGAAAGCTAATAAAAAGAGAGGCAGGAGAAAAAAATAGAGGTAGAAGAGCAAGGGGGTGGGAGGGAAATTTATTAAAAACAGGGGCAAGGAAGAAGAAACATACGAATGTAGAATAAAGTCAGCTGAATATTTTATACGCTGGGGAAAAAAACTCCTGGAATGTTAATCAGCTGACTGGTCTCTACCTAGATCCCATGCCTGCTTTGAACAGAATTTCTCTCTGACTCTTTGGCTTTGCTCTTTCCTTCACTTTGTTTTTGAAAACATGACATTCCTTTAAGATATCAGGGACCAGATAAGCATGCCAGATGGTGGGATTTGGAAAAGACAGCATCTGGATTAGCAGAGCAAGTTACAACTGATGGGAATGTGTAGAAACACTAAGCCAAAGTCAAACAAATCTGATTATATTAAGGCTACCGTATATGACCCAGTGAAATCTGGGTATCACAAGATGGTGGCCAAGAGTGCTTTCAGCAACTAGTGGTTGGTCTGACTTTTCCAGTCTAGATTGTGACTGTGGGACATGCAAGCACAGCCAGTAGGGATGCCATGATGGGATGAAGAGAGATGCTGATATTTTCACAGTGTTGGTGCTTTATTAATTAAGTCTGCTTGAATAACTTGAGGCAAAAATATGCAATGAACAACTAAGAGAAGTAGTTACACTTAGTTAGCCTAATGAAGAGAAGGCTTGGTGGAGACCTGATTGCAGACTCCTGCTTTGGGCAGGGGGTGGACTAGAAGATCTCCACAGTTCCTTCCAGCCCCATGATTCTATAAATTTGCATATATTGATCTAGATTCTGGTGGATTCATTTCGTTGGTGGATGAATATAAGTTTTATTGGGGCCTCAATATTGCTTATTGTTTATTATTTTAAATAGCCTATTTATTGTATTGTGTTTTTATTTTGTTTGCCACCAAGAGTTTTCTGATAGGTGGGCAGCAACGAAATTTGTTTAAGAAATAAGTAAATAAACAAACAAATAAATAGATTTCAATTCTACCTTACATATGGTGGTCTAGATTTTATCTTCAAAGAATAACTAAATGCATTTTATTCATTAATATTGTGTCTAAATACAGTGGAGCCTTGGGTCATGACCTGGTCATGATCTGATTTGGTCGTGTCCGGAAGCACGACCAACTGCATATGCACCAATAAAAAAATGGCGCCGAAGGAGAAATCAGTACCCAGTTTTTGAACCATGACCTGATTAAAAATTGGGTGGATTTTTTTTGTTCAACACCCAATTTGGTTGCGAACAGGAGTGTTCGTGACCCGAGGTTCCACTGTAATTTTAAAAGTTATAAAGATATAAATAATGTTAATTAGCATTCATCTTTCTGCTTTATGCATGATTATGTGTGATGACCTTGGGCATGGCACAAAGGCAACACAGTCAGATAATCAATAAGAGTCCCTTTATTTGCTCCAACTGTGCCTCCAGTGTCCAGGTTACCTTCTGGCTGGAGAAAAACTCTCCTAGGAGCAGCCTTTGACTGCAGAGCATTAAGTATTAAGTCCAAAACATGGTCAACATAAACTGTAACTGTAAGTCCAATCAAGCCAAACTGAGGTAATTAGTTTGCAGGGCAGGCACGATGTGAAGGCATGGCAAAACTCACACAGTTGGGAAGACACCAGGAACACAGAAAAGCAATGACAACACAAGATTAAAGTAACATTTACTCCCAGCAGTTGCTGCAGTCAGCATTCAATTTTTATAAACTTTCATCCCAGGTGTCGCTAATGAAGGGAATCAGGGCCCTTTTCTTCCCCGTAAGCCATGCAACCCATGTTGCTCTCTTCTCCATTCCTCCCTGGTGCCCTAGGATGAAGATGGGTTGGGCCTGGGTCTTCCTCTGAACTCCCTCTCCCTTGTTCTATCTCTCCCCTGCTATGCCCAGCTGAACTTTGTCCTTCCCCAGCCTCCTCCACAGCCAATGGAGCCACACTCCCATTCCCTGTCAGCTGTTCGTCTTCCTTCTCAGATTCAGACTCTGACAGGGGCATGACATTATGTCTGCCAGTTCTTTGAGATATCAATATATTATAACTATAATATATGTTTGTAGCCAATCACAAATGCTTTTTCGAAAGAGGGTGGCGGGAATTAAACATCTGCAGAAGAAAGAATGCCAGCTATGACTCTATTTTCTTTTCTCTTATGCAATAATTATTGGAATCCAATAAATCTTATGTTCTTACTTGCTATTCATGTCTCACATTCCAAGTAAAATAGGCACTTCTAGACTTTCAAAGATCATAGCACCTCTGTGCAGATTACTTTAATTATTTCAGCAATCCCTAAATTTTAGAATGACCTTCTCCAAACAAGTACCCTTAAAATGGACTTAAATCCTCAACTTACCAAGCAGCTTGACTAGTGAGATACTGGGAGTTGTAGTTTAGTCCTAAAAATAACTGGAGGGCATAAATGAAGGCAGATGTAGATTGTGTGAGACCACAGAGATTCAAAGGGTGACCCATAAATCTTTTCATGTAAAATCCCCTTAGAACCTAGAATGGTTGTCATTTTAAATAGAAGCTATTTATCTTCCATCATGGCACACATATACAGACTCATTTTTTCCTTTCCTAAAATAAGATGGGGGAATGTCTTTTGAAGAACATTTGAAGAAAATGACTCTTTCAAGCCACACCAAATAACCATCCATTTAAAGCACAGTATTATTTGCAGACTGACCTTTGTTATTCTCTTTGATAAAGCTGCAGAATTAAAGATACATTGCTTAATCATAGTCCTCATGAACATTTTAGAAGTGAGGGTTTTCAGTGCTTGATTCTGCTTGTGGATTACATGAGCAAACAGAAATTCTTCATGTGCCATTATGGGATTAACCTGGCCAATCTAAGTGGTTTCTTACGACTAATCTTCTATAGAAATCAACTCACACACAGTTTCTTTTTACGTCTCAACAGGTTGTTGGCATATTTACTGCAGTAAGAGCATAGCAAACATTGATTTATGATGTTTTAAAAATAAATTTAGGAGTTGTTAATGGCAAACTCTATTATACACAGCATTTCACTGAGGAACTAGAGATAGCCTACCTTTTGACCCAGTGATCTGCCCATGAAACAAAGGCAACCCACCCACATATCATGCCTGCCAGGGCTTGAAAATACTTTTTAAAGTTGTGCAACATACATAGATGATACGGAAATGGTCCTGAGAATTCCAAGGTGTCAGGCCTGTCTTAAATCCTGTTAAATCCACTTTATATACATAGAATAAAGGAGGAGTTTCCTCAAATTCTTATGGACCTTCACTTGTATTTTGCATTCAGCAAGGCCGCACCAGTGCAGACAACACTATGTGGAGAATATGGCATTTTAATTGTTCCACTTTATCCCTACTGTTCCACTGAAATGTGCATGCTAGGAGTGCCTGCTATTTGAAAGATCATAACTCTCTCCTCCCCCTGCCCCCCCAGTTAATTCAATCTTAATTTCAATGTGTATATTGTTGTTAGAGGCCTCTCTATAAAAGCATTTTTCTCCAGGCAATGAAGATTGAGTGAAGTTCTTTTTTCTGTTTCTTTCCCTCTCTCTCTTTCTCTGTCTGTCTTAAACAGAACAAAGAAATGCATTGCTTTGATTTACCCTACACTTTGCCATTTTACTTTGGCAAGACCTCAAGCATGTTTAAGAAAGTTCAGAAACAAAGCAGACTAAAACAATAAAACAGGAAGCAAATGATGGGCAAAGAGATGTGTGTTTATAAAGATTATTTAACACTGAAAAGATAAGGGGGCAATTCAATACCACCAAGCTTCAGGAACTACCTTATTCAGAAAGATTCTTTTCTCTCCATCCTATGTGACCTTCTAGGATGGGTCCTCAGCAGAGGTGGTATTCAGCAACCTCTGACTGGCCCCACCCCCATGTATT